CCAAACATTGGAACGGTTGGAACCGTTCTCGTTATTTTAACGCAAACAGCTCTACCCTAATGTCATTTGTCGTTTATGCCTTGTGTCAACAACAATTCATTTAGATTTATAGCTGTCATCGAGCAAGTTGATTATTGAATTTTAATTATCTTTTATCTTGGCCATCCGATGTACTAATTGTCTTTAATATTTTTAATGACCGTCTGATTTTAAAAAGGTAAGTTTTCTACCGATATTTTGTTGAATATATATATTTAGTACAAGAATGTCTAATTAAAATGTCAAATTTGAAACATAACCTCAACATGAAAACACAAGAAATCACATGTTTTATATAATTTTATCTATTATTTTGTTAGGAAAGAGATACTATGCTTTACTATATTTAAATATGTTAAATAAGATTTTTCCTTTTCATATTAATTTTGGTATCTGTGAAGCTATTCAAATAATAGTATTAAATTGTGCATTTGATTGTAAAAAGCATCTTATCTGTTTCCTATATACTCTTCATGGTTCCCTTCTTGATATTTTTACCTTTTTCCTTGTAGCCTGGCTGTATATAGATGGTTCTATAGAAGTTGTATATAGATGGTTCAGTAGAAGTTCTATAGAAGTTTTATCGAAAAAGATTGTTTGCAAGAACGTTCCAGCTGCATGTGTAGAAATATTGAAACTTAGAAGTTTGGTTCCAGCTACAGAGGTTGTTTCAAGTATTTCAAGAGATTTAGTTCGAGCCATCCAAAGAAGTTTACGAGATTTAACTTTACCTATGAAGATTTATCAGTTGGTGATATCCAAGCCTATCATACGAATCCCCTGTACCTGCTACCTGTTATACCACAGATAAGTTTTAATAAATCATTTAAATTTGAATAAGTAAGTCTCTGTGAATTAGAATTTTTGGCTACCGTATTTAATTATAATATCTTAATGGTTAGTGATTTTCTATATTTTCATCACTAATCGATTGTCAAGTTTAGAAAGTTTTAAATATAGTGGCACTAAACATTCTTTTTCAAAGTAATACGAGTTGTTTAATAACCTGACCCACTCCCCAAAATCATAGAGCTTAAAACACTATAAAAATAGATAAAATAATAAGATTATATTACATATTCCTATTTTAGGATGTAGATTACGCGGTTAAAATATGACCGTCTAATTTCGGGACACCCTGTATATTAGTTCTTGATTGTAATAAACCAAACCAATTTAAAACTTACAATGAATATATCTTATGCACTAAACATAATAATAAAATACTTGAAATTGTTTCTAGGATATAGAGAGGGAACTTATATGACTAAATACAGAACTCACCACAACATGTATCGCCACTTACCTCAAAAAAAAAAATAGGAACCCATTACTTGTTATACATCATAGTATATTACATTACGAATGTGGAAAGTGACATTTATAAGACGAATGCATAATCACACGAGTGTAAAAAATGACTTTTAAACAAGTGATGTACAATATTTTTACTACGACCAAAAATTTTTTTTATTTAAAAATGTGATATCAGAAATCTGGCTATAAAGGTTTATTCAAGATGTGACATGTGGCTGGTTTTAGATTTGTTTTTATAGGCGTCATTTAATAATTATTTTTAAAGTGTTTTACGGATGGTGTTTTGTCGAAATTGTAATTCCATTTACAAACACTTTCATGTGATAACGATAAAAAAAAAACATTAAGTACCAAAAAATATTAAAATACAATAATGTTATTCATTAGAATATTTTTTATTTAAATAGAACAAATAATAAGATGATTAACCGTGAACAACAACTTTTTTATTATTAAAGATGATTGCCTGCTCACACTTTTTTTAAGTAGAATAAAATAAATAGCGAAAAGATTAACTGTATGGGATATATTATAATTAATTAAATATATTTACAATAAATAAAAAGCAATAGTCGTATTTTTTAATATTCTTATTTTAAGAATAAAAAATTAAAAAAAGATTGCCTTCAGCGGGGATTGAACCCGCCTCACGGCATGGTCATGAAATGCAAAGTTGACAAAATTGAACGCTCTATCAACTGAGCTGCAAAGCTTTTGTCGTATAAATTATCTAATCAAATATGTATAAAAATATATAAAATAATGTGTAGTTCCTTTAATAGTTAGTTATGTATCAAGGGCGAAAAACAGGCGTTTATGGACCTCAACGTGTAAGTAAGAGCCCTAGCTGTTAGGCGAGGGCTATTAACACGTTAGTTCCATAAACGCTGTTTACGCCCTAAATACATACAAAATTTTATGCAAGAACCTTTTAATGATAATGTTATAACAAATATATAAAATTTTATGAACGACCGTTTTAATGATTGTTTATTAATAAATAGCTATTAGTTTTTCTTTTTTGCCTTTTTTGAGCAGGTTGTTATAAAGGAATTTAATTTACCACCCGGCGGCCACCGGGCGGTAAAATGTCCGCGGGCGGTAAAAGGGCACTTTACGCCCGCTAAACGTATTTATAATCTGGACTTTGTCGCCCGATCGTACATAAAATTATTTTAATTATTTGTTAAAAATAAATATCTATATTAACAATTTAATCATCAAAGTTATTTTACTATTAATATAGACATTACATGGATCAAAATAGAAATTATTGCGTCTGACATATTTGACAGCTGGCGCGGAACGGGTGGAAAGTAGATTCTTATCCACACGCGTTTGATATTCGAAGGGCACTTCTCGTAAGACTAAATAGTGCGATAAGTGTTACTTTCCTAAGTCGTTGAAGGAAAACTGCTTTTCAACGATATAAGTTACAGCCTATATTTAATAGTACATAATGAAATATTTTTAAATATTTAAGTATAGGTACTGAGCTGTAATGTCCTACTGGATAAGGATATTGTTGACATAAAGGCGTTCCAAAAATTTGTCATTTTAAGCAAACAATATGACAAATCGGATTTTATGTAAACAAATACTTTTTTGTAGAAAACAGAATGAAAAAATTGGCACTGTTTATAGGTAAATAAAACTATTAAATTCATAATAATTTGTTTATAATCACCATTTTGTCGAAACACACTAATAAAATAATTAATTTACATATGATTGTAGCATACAAAAATACATTTAAATAGATTAAATGAGAAAAATAAAGTAAATTATAACGATTATTAATAAACTAAATGAGTATCTTCTTATTTAAAATTTTAAACAATCAGCTTCGTTTGCGGTGATAATCCTGACCTGATTCTGAACGCTAAGGTAACAATTACACTGCATATTATAACTGGATTTGAATTGTATAAATGGTTATGTAGGCGTGTATGGTCTACCTTAGCATTCAGAACTCGTTTGGGATCGGCTATCGGCTCCCCAAAGGAAGCTTGAAATTGCTAAACAATAGTATGGATATAAAAATTTTAACATAAAGGTCTGTGTGCTGGTGCCCGGAAATATGTCAACTATATTTAAACTATTTTAAATAATCTGCCTGTATTACAAAATTAAAGAAGAAACAAATAATCGTTTGTCTCATTAATTATCCTAGTCTCCCTTGTAATATACAAGTTAGGAAAAAAGTATACGAGCCATGTGGTATTGTTACGTCAATTAATTGTAGGCTACAGTATGATAATATTCCTAACACTGGAGGGCGTCGTAATCGAAACGACCAATATAATACATTTACAGCTTATTTTAATGATGGCAGTAACGAATCGTTTTATTTAACATTACATTTATTTCCGTTACATGAAAATTAAGTAACAAAGTAACGTTACGTTATAACAGATCAATTGTCCCCAGTATGCCCTATGCATACCGTTCCTAAAACTAAATTTACTGAAAATAACCGTTTATCATCAATAGATCAAGTATATGCTCATTTGGTAACTAAACAATAAGATATACAAATATTTGGATAGCGCAGTATTCTTTATTTGGATACCGTTATTGAATAAAAATGAAAAAAATATGAATTTAGTACGGTAAATTGGATGAGATTTCTACAAGGAAATGTTTATTTTGCCTATCATGAATACGTTCTTTGTTCTCGTTTCTTTAAGTTGTTTGGGTATACCTACAGGTTCCCTGTTTCGTTACAAGAAGTAACTTTACGTAAAACTTTTCATATATGTTACGTTATATTCCGTTCCAATAAAATAACATTATGAAATAATGTTACGTATATAATAAAACACTTACTACTCGGCCCTTGCCAGTAAGCCATTTTGGATGTCTACAATACTGTCAGAAATTCCCCAATAGTTAATAAATTATCTACAAAACAATTATTTAAAGAATTATAAATTATTTGTCACTTGCAAATAATTCTTGGTTCTATAATAAGGGAAATTTTGTAAATAGTGTCTTTATTTAATTATTTAATTATTTATTTAATTAGAGAGAACAACTCAATGCATTACAAGCATTACTAATCTTTAGCTTGCTTGAAGCTTCATGATTGATAAAAGTAAGCAATATTGAACGCAGAACAGGTGGTATGTATGTAGATCTTGGCGTTTGACACAAAGCATAAAAATTGCAGTGTACTCACAATGGCTACACCCTATGGCTCGTATGTTTTTTCTTTACATATTTATTAAAATCATTTAAAAATCCTAATGATTTAAATAAATTAAACTCGTTCTGTAAAATAAATTGTACATCATTACATTTGATTAGATCATTTCATTTTTTAATAGTGTGAATACAATTTTATATCTATTCTAGGCATTATTATGCCGCATTTTTTCGATCAAACCCTGGAGCCAATACTAGGTAGTGGCGAAAATGAAGTAAAGTTTTGAAGACAGAGTCCTTTAAAGTATTTCATAAAAAGTGACATTTTCTTACCTGACAAGAGAGTTAAATTGTTAAACTTTTTACCTTTTCAGAAAAAACATTTTATCGAGTTTAGTAGATAGTAATTTTTATGTCTTACAATTATAGCTTTTGTTTTAGAAAGTGTTAAAAAAAAAATATTTTATTTGTTTCACTTTATATTTCGAGTATTACAATTATGAGATTTTTGGAAATAGTTTCTCAACTTCTTTCTCACAATCAAGCAGTTTTACAGTCGCTTGCCACACTTCTTCATTTAAAGAATCATCAGTTGCTGTTTTGTAGAACGGCCTTTTCTGACATTCTATAAAAAAATGTCCAGAATATTTTTCTAAGCCCTGCTCCAGAGCAGTGTAAAGGGTAGTTTGAGCACCTTCTTCAGGAGTCTGAAATGATATCGAGCATTAAAAGACAAGTAGTTATATCATCATTTACAAAAAATTTCAATGAATAATTAAAATAGTAGTCCACATGGATTTTAACTATCATTTTTATAACGTACATTTACATTTTGTATTATTTATTAGTATATACACTGTCCCAGAATGCACGCGCAATAGATATAAATTACAAAAATGTTTTTGAGTTGGACGCTCAGCCCCGCTTTTAAAACTTACGAGGTCTGTAAATTAAGTAATGAGATTAATTTTTTTTAAATTTTTTATACAAAAAGAATTACAATTCAATATTGTCACCTTCAAAATAACTTCCTTCTGAGGCCACACAGCGCTGGAGACGTTTCTTCCACTCCTCATATCAGTGCTGGAACTCCGATACTGAAATAACCTTCAGCTGGTCGGTTACAGCCGTTTGAATTTTTTCGACTGTCCCAAAATGATTTCCCTTGAGGTGACTTTTCAACTTTGGGAAGAGAAAAAAGTCACAAGGACTCAAGTCAGGCGAATAAGGATGCTGAGGAGCCACATGAATGTTTTTACTGGCCAAAAACTCGTTTATTGAAATTGCTGTGTGACAAGGAGCATTATCGTGATGCAACACCCACTGGTTCTTGATGTTTGGTCTCACACGAATGACCCTTTTTCGAAGTCTTTCAAGAAACTCTCGGTAAAAGTGTTGATTGACCGTTTGACCTTGGGGTACAAACTCTTTGTGGACGATTCCGTGGATATCTAAAAAACAAATCAGCATGCATTTGATCTTTGACTTCGCCATCCTTGCCTTTTTTGGCCTTGGAGAGGTTGAAGTGGGCCACTCCATGCTCTGGCGCTTGGTTTCTGGGTCGTACTCAAACACCCAAGTCTCGTCACCAGTAATGACACGTTCCAGAAAATGGGGGTCATTTTCAATTGAATCCAAAAAGTCAAGGCACCTTGCCTTCCTGATGTTCTTCAGGTCTTGCGAAAGGTTTTTTGGAACCATTTCTGCGCAGATTTTTATCATCCCCAATTCATTGGTCAAAATTTGATGAATGGTGGTGTGAGTCAAATTTAACTCTTTCCCTATCATTCTGACTGTCAACCGACGATCTGAACGCACAAGATCCCGGATTCTGTCGACATTTTCATCTTCAATCGACTCTCTTCCTTCTGAAAATGCCTTAAACTACCGAAAAACCTGGGCCCTTGACAAAACACTATCTCCGTAGGCCTGCTGAAGTTTCAGAAGAGTTTCCGTTGCACTGTACCCAAGTCTGAAGCAAAACCTGATAGCACACCGTAGCTCGAAATTGATGTCATTCATTTTTAGAATACAATAGAAAAAACTGTTTCATAAAAACAATCGCTACGCACAACCAAATGACTCGAGCGAGGTCAAACTCGTACTGAAGGTGGATCACATGTTCCTCTGCCACCCCACTAAGCCACGCGCTTCCAGTGTTGCCAGATCAAACGCAACGTTGCCAGTCTCATTACTTAATTTACAGACCTCGTATACACCTTAAATTTGAATTAAACTCATCGTTTTAGAGGTATTATTTTTTAGAATTCCTACTGCTAATAAAATGACTCACATATTATATTGACTTTAGGCAAATGCTCTTGCGTCAACTTGCGTAATTAGAATAATCTGTATATTTCTTAATAACATAATGGATTAAGTACTAAAAAGATCTGCTATGACATTAGTGGAGGACACGCAGGGCCGACTAGAGGGGGGGGGGTAGTCGGGACTACTTCCCGGAGCCCGGGCTCAAATGGGGGCCCGGCAGCGGTGGTGTTTGTTACTTTCAGAAGTTCGACAGAGGAGGGGGGAAGTTCTTAGTTGAGGACCTTTTTTTTAGAGATATTCAAGTAGAAGAAGAGAAATTTTAGCTTGAAGACCTTTTGTTATTTAATTTTTTATAAAATTGTCGCGGGGCCCGATCTGGAGAATTGTCCTGGGGCTTGGTCTGGCTCTCGGCAGCCCTGAGGACACGTGTACGTTCTCAAATTTTATTATTTTATAAGTAATAGAATTATTCTGCTGAAAGGCCAAGTTTACGTGAGTTACAGTTGCGCAAAATGAATCCAATAGCAAACTTATTCGTAAGAAGTTTGTAGAGACGGTTTTCCACGGTTTTTCTCTAACTTGAAAAACAAAAAAAAACTAAGACAAACCCGAAACTCTTGTCCCATCAAACTGGCTACATTTTGTTCCAGATTTGTTTTTGTTTTCAGTCCTTTTCCACTGGTTGTTGCGAGGAAGTCAGAACGCATTTTTTCAGTGTTTTATTTATATTTGTATATTTATTTTTTTAAAAGATGAATGTGACATCATAAAAACCTAAGAAGGACAATATTTAGATTTAACATAGTCTGGCCCTAACACACAGATATACAGGGTGGTCCATTTAACTTGAGACAGCGCAATATCTCAAAAACGGTAAGTTTAAAAAAAAAAAAAGTTTAAATAAAAGTTGTTAGGCGTTACGGAGGAGATGTAATAATGAACATTTTTTTTATATTGACAACTTTTTGAAGGTTTTTCAAGGTTAACTCTCTTTTTTTAAATGGAAATATAGATTTTTTATTTCAGAATCTTGTTGTATGTAAAAAAGCAAATAAGTTTTGTTTAAAGAAATTTTTCATAGATAAAAAATAAAAACATTTTTTTTTTTCAAAATTTTATAATATTGAAATGGTTTAGTAAAAATGTTTTTTTCTTACAAAAAATTAAATGACCCAATTATATCAAACAACAAAAAAAAATAATTTAAAATGACCATCAACTTCAACACATTTTTTTTGTTGTTGTTTGATATGATAATTGTGTCATTTAAGAAGAAAAACATTTTTAGTAAACCATTTCATTATTATAAAATTTTGAAAAAAAAATGTTATTATATTTTTTATCTACTGAAGATGCAATTCTTCAAAAAGTTGTCAATGTAAAAAAATTTTCATCATTACCCCTCCCCCGTAACGTCGAACAACTTTTATTTAAACTTTTTTTTTGGAAAACTTACAGTTTTTGAGATATCGCGCTGTCTCAAGTTAAATGGACCACCCTGTATATTCTACCACAGTTTAAAGATAATATTCTTTAAACTATGATTCTACTAATAAATATACTTATATAATGTAGATTATATTTAATTAGGACTGTGGGCCATGTAATCTCCACCACCTCGACCATTTCAGATTTATTGTGGATATCCTTTAATCAGTGTTTAGAAAACCTTGTCTAATTTGGTCTTTTGTAGTACTCCATAGATTGGAAAGTAGTTCTCTGGTATAGCTAGTTGTCCTTGGCTTTTCTTCTCCAAGTGTAAGGAATCTTAGTCTTGCTAGACCTTAGCAGTAGCACAATACGTGTTCTGATGTTTTCTCCTCTTCCTGACAGAACCGGCACAAGGTCTCTTCTGTCAGACCGATATTATACATATGTTTGTTAAGCCTATAATGCCCTGTTAATAGGCCTACTATTACTCTAGTATTTTTCCTAGATGCTTGGTAAGTTTAGGCGATGGTCCTTTTAAGAACTCCTTGTCCTGTCTCTATCCTAGTGTTTTTCCACCACTCTTGAGATTTTTTAAACATCCACTGCTTTGTGCATGTTCAGATAGTTGTCTTCGCGACACCACATAAGGGTTCTAGGCCAATAAGAGCTTTTGAGGCTCCTTCTTGGGCTAGTAAATCAGCCTCTTCGTTACCCTTATGTCCTCTGTGGCCTGGTACCCAGGCTAAAGTTGGTCAGTTTCACAATAAATTACCTACTTATTTAAAAAAATAACTTATTTACTTAACTGTACAACATTTAGATTATACAACACGCGCGACCCTTTCCAGTAAACAGACTTGAGTTTCAAAACACGTTGAAACCTTATGATGTTACCGCTTCTGAGCGGGACTCAACAAACAAAATTCCAACAGTCGTAAAACACGCCAGTCTTTAAAAAGTTTGCGAAAAGTTGGAGTTTTGTTTTTTTTTATCTATTTTGTGAAAAACCGCCATAATATCAAAATTTTCAATCATAACAATACGCCATAAAAGCGTGACGTAATTTTGGTTTCACTGACAGTTAATTCTAACCATACTTCTAACAATATTGGACATGTACCTACGTTTTTACTGTTTTTATTTTTTTATTAAATATCATTTGCAGGTAATAAAAGTCTTGCACCCCCTGTATTATTCAAAAATATAATATATATCTTAATAATTTTTTTCTGACGATTAAGGCAACTTATTTACAATTTGTCTCATTTGTATAATATTTTAAAGGAAGCGTTCCAAACTTAAATAAAAATAATCCTAATTCTAATATTTGGGGGTGCAAGACTTTTGAAACTGAGGGTAATTTAAAGGTATGTAATTGGTTACTAAATGATTATATACTTGTTGCATTATCTACTTACTCTACTTACTCTAGGAGTGTATTTTTGTAAAAGTTTAAACCAAAATAATTATGTCATCACTATTTTAGCATATAAAAACTTTGTAGTAGTTGCTTTCTTATGTTTTATGATATACAGTTACTTAATCATTATAGCTATAATCTGCGTAATAAAAAAAATTAAATTTTTAGCATATATCATATTATTAAAAAATATTTTTTTTAGGTTGTTTAACCTTTAATGGAAAAATGCAATGTTTCATATACAATATCATTTTATATTAGCACATATACTAGTAAGAACATACCATTAAAGCAAACGGTTAAAGACTTTAATGTATAAATTTTACACATTCCGAAATCTTTCTAGGAAAAAAGTTAATAATTCAACAGCGGATTCTGCTATTACATAATGCATGGGGAGTAATACTTCTCTAAATATGTTAGAGATGGTTAAAACAAAAATAATTTTTAAAGGACAAGTACAAGTTATATCTGAAACGCGAGGTTGGATTTGAAATCTTATATTCATCTTGACAATTTGGAAATCTCTAAAGGTACCATTTGGGTAGGCGCGTCAAGAGACAAGCGACCACTGATGCGACCCCA